GGGGGGGAGGAGAGAGACGCTGACCGACGCTAGGGGAGACACCAGGGGTGAGACACCGTCCGATGCTGGCGTCACACAACAATTTCCTCGGCCAAAAAGGGGTCACAAGTGGAGAAAGTTTAAGAAGGCCTGCTTTAGAGCACCTTGCTGGGGTTGCATTTTACCACTTTCATTCCATCTTCCCCATGTGACTTGAAGGCTACTTATTACCGCGTATGTACAGAACTTTAGAGTAGCAAACTCCGAACTTGGAGCTGGCATCAATCCAAAGTGTTGCCAGCTTCATTGGTCAGGAGGGGGGTGCAGCCTGCAGTGTTCATCTGGGTTAGGAAGTCTTAAGAACTGTCCATTACAGCATGCTTTTTGGGACCTAAAATATGCAATTCAGATTTATTTTTTTTAAGCGCTCACATGTTTGGGTTTAATTCCACTGCAAAAGGAAAAGTACCATTTACTATAATTTGCTAGTTTTATCCGGTACCTGGACTAGTTACCAATGCCAGGGTGCGGGTCTTTTGGTCTCTCGCAGAGTATCTTGAAGGGCTGATGTGAAGGTGTAAGGCTGGGCACACACCTTACAACCATGGCAAGACTTTTGTCTTACGATGGTTGTAAGGCAATTAAAAAAAACGTACGATCTGCCTATCTTGGACAGGCAGATCGTACTTGCGATGATCGCAAGGCGCGCCCCCCTGAGGGGTGGGCTTCCGATGACCGGAGTGCCGAACGGGTTTGGAGCTGGCATCAATCCAAAGTGTTGCCAGCTTCATTGGTCAGGAGGGGGGTGCAGCCTGCAGTGTTCATCTGGGTTAGGAAGTCTTAAGAACTGTCCATTACAGCATGCTTTTTGGGACCTAAAATATGCAATTCAGATTTATTTTTTTTAAGCGCTCACATGTTTGGGTTTAATTCCACTGCAAAAGGAAAAGTACCATTTACTATAATTTGCTAGTTTTATCCGGTACCTGGACTAGTTACCAATGCCAGGGTGCGGGTCTTTTGGTCTCTCGCAGAGTATCTTGAAGGGCTGATGTGAAGGTGTAAGGCTGGGCACACACCTTACAACCATGGCAAGACTTTTGTCTTACGATGGTTGTAAGGCAATTAAAAAAAACGTACGATCTGCCTATCTTGGACAGGCAGATCGTACTTGCGATGATCGCAAGGCGCGCCCCCCTGAGGGGTGGGCTTCCGATGACCGGAGTGCCGAACGGGCAGTGTGCGCTTGCGCACACCAGCCTGTCCGGCTTTTATCTTACGAACATGCTACACACCCGCCGAACATCGTACGATGCTCGGCGGGTTTTCGAACATGTTCCTAAGATAAGTCGGGCGGCCTTACAGTAGTAGAGGCCGCACGGCTTCCACACACCTTACGATAATCGTACGGTCGCGGGATTACCTGCGATTATCGTACGATTATGGCAAGGTGTGTGGGCACCTTAAGCGAGTGCGGATACATTGGTCTCTGTGAATCTGGTCGGCAGTGCCGTCGGTTTATTTTCACTGTCTTTTCTAATTCCAGATTTTGCTGTGCGACTCCTGTGACAGCGGTTACCATACGGCTTGTCTGCGGCCGCCCCTTTTGTTGATCCCTGATGGAGAATGGTTTTGTCCTCCTTGCCAACATGTATGTATCTGGTTTTATTTTGTCCTCCTCCTAGCTGCAGGTTTTAAACTCCACTCCGTATAAGTTTTTAAAAAAAGCATGCCATGATATGCACCCAGGGAAAGCACTACTAAGGGCTTACCATGCAATGATAATATAATGATCACATGGTGCTCTCCAGAGGATGCCCAGTGGCTGGCAATTCCTGCACATCGTGTCTGCAGATTTCCTTCTTCTACACAGGATGCAGATTGCGCTGATCTGATCTCTTTCTTTATGAACAGAAATTACTCTGCGAAAAACTGGAGGAGCAGCTGCAGAATTTAGACGTGGTACTGAAGAAGAAAGAACGGGCAGAGAGAAGGTAATACACGGAGAAATCACTGTCTCAGTGATAGGTGGTCGTCGTGTTTATCATCTGCGTAGTCGGGAATGTGGAACGTGCTGCTTGGTTTGGGTATTTGTTTCCCTCTGTCTTCCTGTATGTAGCTTATACTTTCTCCAGCATCTGAAAGCAAGAGTGCAAGTGCCACCTATCTATCTGCTGTTATGGTAATGTCAATGCTTAAAGGAGCAGGGCTTGAAGTGGACCTCAGGTTAGGCAACCCTGAGCAACATTTTTAATCTTCATTCCAAAATATAAGGTTCTTACCATGTACTGTTAAGACTCCCTGGACTGGCACCATATAGAAGTACTCATAATGAGATGGTTTCTCCCGCCTGTTTGGACATACCAACCCAGTGATGCTTTGAAAGCCTATCTCCGGGCAGCAGTGTCGCACAGAGGGTGCGGGCCGCACCCGGGTGACACCATTGGAGGGGTGACACCAAAATGACTGACAGTCATTTTGGTGTCACCCCCTCTAAAAAGTCGGGCACTCAGTCATGGACCGAGAGCATGACAGTGTCGGGAGAGAGGAGGGGACTCGGCGGCACACCTCATCCTGCCAGGTGAACGTCCCCTCCTTTCTCTCCCGGCGCCCATCACGGCGGGGGTGTCACCTGGTCTTTGCTCCGGTTGACACCCGGCCTCGGGACTCCCCTGTCTCTGCAGTGGGGCTACCCTTGTGTTAACGGCTCATTTTGTCTAGGGGTATGTTGAAGAGGTCTTTTACTTATTGATCTCCGCTCCCCCAGCATTCAGTGTTCACACCTCTGCATAGGTTCATGGAATCAATCAGCACCCTCTCGGATGATGCAGGACTATGGACCCTGCATCAGACTGATGACGTCAGCAGGCCTCAGACCGCCAGAGTGGAGAAGGGAAGAGGCTGCAGGTGCCAGTCTTGGAGCCAGCAGGAGCATGGATCAGGTAAGTAAAACTGCTTTACAAAGGTCCCCGAGACCAAAATGGGCAGTTAACCTGTGCAGTACAGGGGTAGCCCCGCTGCAGGAATTGCTGTTTTTAAACCCCCCCCCCCTTCAACTGGG